TCTCAGTTAGCAGCTGATGCCTTAGCCACTGCACCACCAGGGCTTCTTTAACAACAGCAGTAGAATTACTAGGTCATACGGCAATTCTGTTTAACTAATTTACAAGCTACCACGCTGTTTTCCAAAGTGGTCCTACCATTTCTATCCCCACCAGCAAAGTACGAAGGTGCTGACTTTTCCATATCCTCACCAAAGCTTAAGGTTTGTCTTTGACTCTAGCCATCCCAGTGGATGTAAACAGGGGTCTCATTGTGGCTTTGATTTGCATTTTCCCGATGACTAATGACACTGAGCATCTTTTCACGTACTTACAGGCCATTGTCCTTGTGAGGTGCTGTCTAGTCGGCTCTGACTCATAGCGACCCCACGGAAAACAGACCGAAACACCGCCCGGTCCCGCGCCAGCCTCTCCACCCTTGCCGTGCTTAACCCCACCACTGCAGGCACTGTGTCGATCCAGCTTGTTGAGGACCGTCCCCTTTTTTGCTGACCCTCCACTATACCAAACATGTTATTTCTCCAGGGATTGGCCCCTTCTGATAATGTGACCAAAGTAGGTCAGAGGAAGTCTGGCTGTTCTCCCTTCCAAGGAGTGCTCCGGCTGCGGTTCTTCCAGGAGGGATCTGTTAGTTCATCTGGCGGCCCAGGGCACTCTCAGCACGCTTCGCCAGCACAGCTCGGAAGCATCAGTTCTTCTCTGCTCTTCCTTTTTCACTGTCCAGCTCTTACACGCAAATGAGGCGACTGGAAATGCTCTGGCTTGGATCAGGCGCACCTTTTAGTCTTCAGAGAGACATCTTTGCTCTTCAGCACTTGAAAGAGGTCTCTTGCAGCACATCTGCCCAGTGCAATACATCATCTGATGTCTTGACTGCTGCTTCCACGGGTGTTGATTGTGGAACCAAGCAATGTGAAATCTTTGACAACTTCAAATTTTTCTCCATTTATCATGATGCTGCGTATAGGTCCAGTTGTAAGGATTTTCGTTTTCTTTACGTTGAGGTGTGATCCATACTGCAGACCGTAGTCTTTACTCCTCATCAGTGTGTTTCACGTCCTCCTCGTTTTCGGCAAGGTCGCGTCATCGGCACACGGCAGTTTGTTGTTGAGTCTTCTCTGATCCTGAGGCCGTTCCTCTTCACGTGGTCCAGCTTCTCGGATCTGGCTCAGCATGCAGATTGAACTGAGTGGAAGTAATAGCCCCATCTCTGGAGTTCCCAGATCTTGTGTGTTGCAGCCCCAGGCCCTGCGACCTAGGACAGGAGCCTAAAGGAGGATATGTATGGGGTATGGGTGTGTGGAGGGGCAAAAAGAATGCCCTCATAAAAATGTTTCCATAACATTCCTCTTGATCTAAGTTGGTCAAAGTGCGAGTCTCCAAGTGCATGTGTGTGGGTGGTTCTCAGGCTCTCACTAGGAAATAGGCTGTGAGTTTGGGGGGATGGTACTGCCCTCACCATCTATCAAGGCTGCCTCATGGCCTCCTCATGGTGTCAGGAGGGCCCTGGGGTGACAGGGCAGAGCAGGGGGACAAAACAGGAATGGGATCCCCTCCTATAATAGACTTCTTCAGTGCTTCTACCCACAGATGATACAAACCACAAACTCAATCACTTCGACCAACAGGAGTAAGAAGTGATTACATAGGGGGTTAGGGATTGACCTGTGTTCCCCCAAAACAGGCTGGAATCCTAACACCTGTACCTGTGCAGGTGATCTTGTTAATGAGGACACACCAGTGTCGGGGCGGGGGCCCCTGAATCTAATCACTACAAAGAGTGGAGCAGACACATACAAGGGGCAGGGAAGACATGCCATGTGAGGGCTGTCTGCAGTCAAGGAACCCCGAGGGCCATCCAGGAACCCCAAGGACCACCCAGGGACCCCCAAGGATCACCCAAGGACCCTAAGGACTGCCCAGGGACCTCAGGAACCATCCAGCGACACTGAGGACCACCCAGCAACCATGAGGACTGACCAGGGACCTTGAGGATTGCCCAAGGAACACCCAGGAGCCCCGACGATCACCCACAGACCCCAAGGACCACCCAGGGACTCTGAGGACCATCTAGCAACCATAAGAACTGCCTAGGGACCCCAAGGATTACCCAGAGTTGCTGACAGGCAGGGCTTGACATAGCCAAGACTGATCAGGGCCCTTGGCTTCCAACTGTGAGCAAATAATTTCTCATTCTTTAAAGCCACTCCACCCGTTGTGGGGCAGCCCTAGAAAACGGAGAGGCAGGGACAGGGCAGAGCCTGTGAGTTACTTCCCTTACCTGTGCACACGAGAATTCTACACCAGCTGAGCTTGCTTTGGCCGCTCAGACCCAAGACCAACTCTTCACAGGGAAGGGAGGGATGGGCCGTTTTTCCAACTGTTCAAGCTGTGTGCTAAATGACACACTTCTCCAGCACACTCAGGTTCCATACCTTTTTATTCTTCCGCTAACAAAATCATAAGACAAAGAGCCTATAAAAGTAAAACATGTCCTCAGCCTCGACTGGCTGAGGTTACTGGTTACCAAAGGTGAAAGAATCCACAGGGTTGGCGTGTACAGAGAACTACAAAGCAGTGCAGGCCCGGCCACGCGCAGTCACACGTGGCGTGCAGGGCTCCAACCCGGCCCAACCGTGTCTGTGTCAGCGCAGTGACAGCATCCCAGGGGAACAGGACCCGTGACACGGAGAAGCCCCATCGCAGGCTGCCCTCCTGAAAGCTGCTGCTCATACCGTCCCATGGCGTCTGTGCTGTGGACCCACGCCTCCCGACCCCGACCCAGTCGGCGCCCAGCACAGTCACGGGGACAGCCGTGTGCGCGCACGTTCGTGGCTCAGCTCACATGGACGCACCACGCCGTGGGATCTGCCCACCCACCCGGGGACCTCTGTCCAGCGGGGGGGGGGGGGGCACTCTGCCTGACCCGCACGCTGCCCCATCAGCTCCTCAGAAACAGCGGGACACACAGCTTTGCCTCGGCTGCCCTACCTCCTGGGCGCAGCCAGCCTCGGGCCGTTTTGTAGCATTCTCCATGGAAAACGCGGTTTCACAGACACTCCCGGGGCGTTTAAATAAATAAATAAGCCACACGGAAAGGGAGACTTCACCGCTGCAGACAGTCTGCAGCCGACTGGCCTAGAACGCAGACGGATGTAAAGAGCCCACTCAACCCGAACCAGAGCCCGACCCAGTCACCCTGCGTCTGCCAGGTGCGTGCTCGGCAGGAGTGGCACACAGGCCTCATGCGCACACAGGGCCGGCTGCACGCGGGACCCCTGCGGCTGTGAGTGTGGGAGCTGGGTGCCCAGGGAGCAGCGTGCTGGTGGCTGCAGGAGCCACCCTGCCCCGTGTCTGCGCAGACAGTGTGCGGGACGTGCACTGGGCTCCGGGATGCGCACGCTCCCCCCTGGCCCTGCTGGCGCGCACGGACGCCACGGCTAGTGCTCAAACAGGAAGGTGTCCGCGCAGCAGACGGCCCGCCATGGGTGCAGGCAGAGGCTCAGAAGGGCCCGGGGCAGAGCCCAGGCTGGACACGAGGCACTGACCCCTGAGCCTGGGTGTGCCTCTCCCGCCTGGAGCATGCGGTCTGCAGGCCTGGGCGTCCTGACAAGGGGACACGCGGACCCCGTCGCCCAGCCAGGGCCCGCTGATGCCGTCACAGCAGAAACCAAGGGGGCATTCAGAGGGACAGGGGCTACGAGGGGACGGAGGACCAGAGCCCCGACCGCCTGAGCCACTCCGACTCCGGCAAGTGAGTCGGCGGCCTGCTGACAGCGGGGTGCGAGCAGCCGCCTCACACGCTTGGGACTGGGTGAAACTGAACCGTGACCACCACAACCGCATGGCTGGGCCGGGCCGGGCCAGGTTCAGTTCTGGGGCCGTGGGGGCGGGGGCTCAGCAGCAGGGGGGCTCTGTGGTCGGCGGGGTCCGGGAAGCCCCCCATAATGGAGAGCGGAGCCCAGGAGGAGCTTTGGCGGGAGCCACCCCGCGGTCACAGCCATCATCCAGGAGGCGTGGGGCCGCCGCCCACCTCCCACACCCACGCCCTGTGCCCCGCGTTAGGAGTAGATGGTGATGACCTCCCGGCCGCCGCCACGGACCAAGAGGACGCGGTTCAGGCCCTCGGTCAGGACCTCGAGGAACTCCATGTCTGGGTGAGAGTTGAGGAACATAAAGTCCTCACAGCGAGTTCAGAGAAGGGTGACTCGCAGGAGGGGCACGTGTAAGGAAGGGCGAGCGGGCTGGCAGGGAGGGGAGGTGGGCAGTGGGGTCAGAGGGCCTGGGGGAGGGGAGGGAGAGGCGAGTGGGGGGAGGGCAGCAAGGGGGGGGCAGAGGGGACGGGAGGTAGAAGGGAGTAGGGGGGGCAGCAGAGGGGAGTGGGGATGGGCAGTGGGGTCAGAGGGGCCTGGGGGGAGGGGAGGGAGGGAGAGTGGGGGCAGCAGAGGGGAGTGAGGGGAGGGCAGCAGAGGAGGGCAGTGGGGCCAGAGGGGCCTGGGGGGGAGGGGAGGGAGAGGGGAGCGTGTTACTACTGTCTTCGTGGGTGTTAGTGGGTGACCCTCCCAGCACTGCCCCTCGTCCCTGGCTCCTGCACATTCTTCCTTGAAGGCTGCCAGACCCCAGAACCCACGTGGGCTCACACCGCTCCAACCTGAGTGTCTCCCCGACCTCTTGGGCCCCACTGCCGATCCCTCAGGGCTCCCCAGTCTTCATAGTTCAAGGACCTGTCTCCAGACACAGAGAAGGGAACTCACCCCCACCCCAGGTTCTATTCCCAACCAGACGTATGGGGCCAGGCGGGCACCCCCATACTCTGGCCATGCCCAACCCCAGCCATGTCCATGTTAGGACCAACTGGCTCCATCTCCCTCAACCTGAGTTTCCCCACCCCAGTCTCAGCTCTGGTACCCCTTCCTAAACAGAGGAAGCCAAGCTGGGAGCCACTCAGTCCCCACCAGGAACCGGAAGCAAGGCCGGAAGGATACAGTTCTCATCTCCCTGCCGGTTCTTGGGGGGCCCCGGCATGTTCAGCAGCACGAGCTGGGCGTCCTGGGACTTGCTGAGGACGACACCATTGAGCTTCACAGCCGTGTGCATTCTCCTGACATTGGACTGGTTCCTACAGGAGGGGACGGGGGTCACTTGGGCACACACGCTCACACCGGCACACACAACCTACCACCACGCTGACACCAGTACTGTGTTCACACCGGCACACACTCACACCATGCTCACACTGGCACACACGCTCACACCGGTACACACGACCCAGCACCACGCTGACACCAGCACCGGGCTCACACAACCTACTACCACGTTGACACCAGCACTGTGTTCACACCGGTACACACACCACACTCACACTGGTACACACGACCCAGCACCACGTTGACACCAGTGCTGGATTCACACCAGCACACACTCACACCACACCATGCTCACACCGGCACACACGCTCACACCAGCACACACTCACACACCATACTCACACTGGCACACACGCTCACACCAGCACACATGACCCAGCATCGCTCTCACACCAGCACCAGGCTCACACCAGCACAACCTACCACCACACTGACACCAGCACTATGTTCGCACCAGCACACACTCATCAGCACACGCTCACACAACCCAGTACTGCACTCCCACCAGCACTGCACTCAGTCAGCCGCATGCCCACACCAGCACCATACTCACACCTGCACCAGGCTCACACCAGCCGCATGCTCACACCAGCACCAGGCTCACATTGGCACACACGACTAGCACCATGTTCACACCCACACTGTGCTCACACCAGCAGTGTGCTCACATCATGTGCTAATACCACATGTGTGCAACCACACATGCACCAACACACCACGTGCTCACACCACGTGCCCTGTGTTCACTGGCACCACGCTCTAACACCATGTGCTCTAAGCAGCACTAACGCACACAGGTGGTGCCCTGAATCCCGACCTGTCTCACGCCCGTGACGATCTGTCTCGAGGGCTGTGTGAGAACATGTCAGAATTCAGAACCCTGGTCCCAAGGCTGCCACAGCCACGGCCCATGCCCGTCGCTCATGGGCTGGCACCATCTGCTCCACACGGAGGAGGCCGCCGACAGCTTCGCATCTGGGCTCACGGCAGCTGCCAAGTTTCCAGTGTTTACACCACCAGTCTCCCTCGGCAGACGGGGCCGTCTGGGCGAGTGTGTGTCCTGCTGCAGGAGACGCACCTCCCCACCTGGGCCTCCCCGGCTGCCTGACTCCAATCACTTGTCCAGCCAGGCCTGCACACTGAGGAACCAGTGCTCCAGGGAGCACGCGGGGTGGGCCCAGAGCAGCCAGCACGCCCCCCACGACAACGACCCAGCACAGCCCTCATCTTGGGTCACACCCCCTGCAGAATCCACGAGGGTTCACAGGGTCACAGTCCCACCTGCCGCCCTCAGATGAGGCTGCTGGTGCTCGGGACAAGAGGGAGGAGTGGACAGAGAGGTCACAGTACACGGCGTCAGGGAAATGCTGCAGGAAGCGCCAAGCTCACTCTCAGTTAATCCAACAACCCCCAATCACCCAGGGAAAGGCAGGAGGGGGGCCCTACTTCTCTTTCAGGTCAATCTGCAAGATGAGCTCAGGGCCTCAGTCCCTGTGGCCACAGCCGAGCACCTGGCATCCAAGACCCACACACAGGGCCTGGGTGAGACCACAAGGACAACATGCTGGGACAACAATTCTAGAAAAGTTTGTGTGGGCTAACAGAGGGAGAGAATTGCATGTAACTTCAGAGCCACAGGATTGGGTCTAGGTGGACCCTTGGTTTGGGGGCAGCACCCACCCCCCGAGCACAGATTGAGGCTGGGAGCAGCCCTGAGCCCAGGAAGCAGCGGGCATGGGTTCTTATTCCGAGACAGCTGGGTCTGTGAGCCATGGGACCAGAACGCATTATAGACACAGTGTCAGGAGAAGTGCTTTGGAGACAGCTCTGGCCACCATGGGGTTTGGGCCACCATAAGGACACAAGCCACACAGATGGACAGAGACACAGACAGAGATGAGTGAGCAACCGCAGGGCCAGGCCTCCCAGGGACGTTCCTGCCTTCCTGCCCACGCCTGGCCCCATGTGATCCCACTGGCTGTGTGACCCGTAGGCAATGGCCCACTGGCTGTGTGACCGTGCAAACCTACTGGCCATGCTCTCCTGGCTGTGTGAGCCCACTGGCCATGACCTCCCCAGCCGTACGATCCTCCTCCCAGCTTGGTGACTCCTGACTGAGTGACCCCTCCTGGCGACAGCCACGTGCCCCTGGCTGCAGACCTGCTGGCGCTGACCCCAATGAGAGCCACGACCCACCAGGCTCTTCCATACAGAGTGTAAGGAGGCAGCTTCCCAGAGGACCTGGCTTCACGCAAGGTGGCAGCACCACCAGGAACCAGGTGCCAGGTGAGCTCCATGGCGAGCATCACCCGGGACCGTGACGGGCGCCCGGGACCGTGACGGGCGCCCAGGACCACGACCGGCACCCGGGACCACAACAGGCGCCTCTACGTGCCTCTGCTCTACGGGGTGCGACGAACAGACTAGCACGCACAGAAGCACAAGGCCCCCCAACCCCTCAGCTGGCGTCCCTAGGCCCCGCTCTGAAATTCAAGTTAGAGGATGAGTTCCAGAATGTTCTGAGAGCACGGGAGGAGGGGAGCAGACTACACAGCACTGACACGGCAGCACGGACACTCGCACGCAGGCACACAGCATCACGGCAAACATGCAGGAGCAGGCCCAGAAGACACAGAAAAGCCGAGTGACTTACAGGTTTCCCCACTCACTACGTGGAAGGACGGAAGGAACAGACAGCAGTTAGCAGCAAGCTTGTGGGCGAACCCCACCCGGCACCTGTGCTCCGTGCGACCCAGGCAGGGCCCCTCCACATAGGGCCCCTCCCCCCCAAGGCTCTCCCAGACACCCCGAGTGACGTGACAGTACATCTCTCGGGCCACCCCAGGGGGAGACTGAGCAGGACCTTGGCAACCTCTTTGATGTGGCCCACGGCTCCCTGGTGGCCCCAGGTCCTGGGGGCCACTGTGCCAGGTCAGCAAAGAGAAGCCTGTATAGCCAGGGGTCAGCACTGGGGCCTCATGTCTACCTAGGGCCTGGGGTCCTGGGTATCGCTGTGTGGGGAGGGGAACAGGAAGCCTACACAACCAGGGGTCAGCAGGGGGCCTGACGTCCATCTAGGGCCTGGCATCCTGGTGTCACTGTGTGGGAAGGGGACAGGGGACACCACACCACCAGGGCACAGGGCTTGACGTCCATCTAGGGCCTAGGGTCCTGGGTGTCACTGTGTGGGAAGGGGACTGGGAACCCCACACAACCAGGGCATGGGGCCTGAAGTCCACCTAGGGCTAGCCTTTCTGAGCCAAAGCAGCACCTACCCCTCAGCTACTGGAGGGAACCCCCTGCATGGTGAGTGGCCCTGCCGCCAGTCCCGTGTGACCCAGCTGGGCTGTGGGTGGGTTACTCACGGCTTCAGGCTGAAGATGTCCTTGAAGCCCGCCATATTGGCGTCTTTAACCTTGTGCTTCTCAGCGACCAGCTTCTCCTTGGTCCAGGTCATCTGCACCCGGTCTGGTGTGGGCGGGGCTTGGGTCTTGGCAGCTACGGCCGACGCCGTGTTTCGGTCATGAATCAGCTGGGCCTGGTTAGGAGGGACGGGCGGTGGCAGCACCCCCAGACTTCACCCGCCAGCCCTTCCCCCAACACCTGCCTGTGTAGAAGGTAACAGGCTGAAGGAGTAAGGACCGAGGGCAGGTGTCCTGCTGGTGGCCTCCCAGGCACGGCCTCGGTCCCTTCCTGCCTTTCCTCCCCGCAGCTACCAGGGAAGGACACAGCCAGCATCCTGGTTACAGAAAAGCCCAGAATGCTGGCAGCTCCTGGGAGTCCCCCCCAGGTCTCTGCACAAGGGGCAGCAGCGCCACACACCAGTGTCCCCCAGGCCCCCCCGCCTACCCACCCACTGGTCCACTCAACCCCTCAGTGGGGGGGGAGGCCATGTCCAGGGTGCAGCGCGTGTCATGGATGGTGTGAACATGGGGGGACAGGGGTGTTGTTACATAGCACCTAGGGAGCCATACGCAGGGAGATGGGGGACCTGGGGGGGTCAGGGCGCCTGGGAGGAACAGAGGCAGAGCCTGGCCGCAGACAGCGACCAGGTGGGCGTCGGGGAGGGGACTGTGGGAGCCCTGTGGCGAACCTGCAGGAGGGGGCAGCAGACGCAGTGTTCAAAGTGGGGGAGCTGCAGGCCACCCTGGTCAACCAGGGTGTGTGGGGGGAGGGGCGGGCACTCTGAGCCCCCCGCCCCCTGTGACAGCAGCCTCATGAGCATTTTCTGCAGGTGACAGTGGTGGGTCCAGCGGTCCAGCCAGCGTCCTCAGGCCTCTACACAACAGTCCCGCTGGGACTCCGTGCTTCCAAGTGTCTCCCCTCCCCTGCACTGTGTGGGTGTGTGGGGGACGTGGGTTCCTCACTTTTCACTCCCACTCATTCTTGGACTATGTGCAGGTGCGTGGGGGGTCTGCAGGCGTCCCCTCCTTTCGCTCCTACTTGTTCTGGGCAGAGTGTGGGTGTCTGCAGGCGCCCCCTCCTCTCGCCCTGCCCCCCATTCTCGGACAGTGTGTGGGTGCATTGGGGGTCTGCAGGCAGCCCCTCTCCTCGCTCCTGCTCATTCTCGGGCAGCATGTGGGTGTCTGCAGGTGTCCCATCCTCGCCCCGATCCCCATTCTCGGGCAGCACGCGGGTGTCTGTAGGCTCCCTCCCCTCACCCTGCCCCCCGTTCTCAGGCAGCACGTGAGTGTCTGCAGGCGTCCCCACCCTCGCCCCCCCCCGTTCTCGGGCAGCACGTGGGGGGGGGGCCTGGGCGCCTCACCTCCCGCTCCCGCTCGTTCTTGGACAGCTGCATCTGCTTCAGCATCTGGGACCTTTGCTCCATCATCAGGGTCTTCTCGTAGGTGAAGGCGGAAATGTCATTTTCAACCTAGAAATGACAGAGCATAGAAGTCACCAGCATGCTCTCGTCCTACTCCTGGCTTTGAGGAAGGCCCTGGGTGACAGGAAGTGTCTGTGTGACCCTGGGAGCTTCTCCTGCCTTGCCCTGTGTGTGAGGGCAGGGGTGTGTGAGTGTGGTACATGTGTAAGGGCAGGGGTGAGTGTGGTACGTGTGAGGGCAAGGTGTGTGTGAAAGCATGGTGTGTGTGTGAGGACAGAGGTATGTATGAGACTATGGTACACATGTGAGGGCAGGGGTATGCATGAGAGCATAGTACACATGTGAAGATGGGTGTGTGTGAGAGCCTGCTGTGTTTATGAGGGCAGGGGTGTGTGTGAGAGCGTGGTACGCACATGAAGGCAGGGGTGTGTGTGTGAGTGTGGTATGTGTGTGAGGGCAGGGGTATGTGTGAGTGTAGTACGTGTGTGAGGGCAGGGGTGTGTATGAGAGTGTGGTATGCATGTGAGGGCAAGGGTGTATGTTATAGTATGGTACGTGTCTAAGAGGTCTGTGAGTGTAAGGTGTGTGAGTGAATGTGACTGCAGGTGTGTGCAGGAGGTGTGTGTGAGCAAGTGTGAGTGTAGGTGAGTCAGGAGACAGTATAAGCGAGTTTGAATAGGAAGTGTGTGCGAGTGAGCGTGTGCGCATGTAGGTGAGTAGGAGAAGAGTGTGAGTGAGTCAGAAGAGTGAGTGTGGGAGTGGGAGTGCAAGAGGCAGGTGTGGGAGCGAGGGTGTGAGAGCCCTAGGCGAGCGTGGACACGGCGGGTGTGTGCACGGGGTGCGGTGGGAGTGGGTGTGCGAGTGCACACAGTATTCCCCAGCCTCGGGCCGGCCTCTGTCCTCCACTCAGTGTTCCAACCCTCTGCTGGCCCTGAGCGTCTCCTCTGACCACATGGACTTCTTGTCACCAGATTTTAACCTTCCACCGCACCACCTCCATGCAGTAGTCACGCCTGTCCCTGTCTCTCTGCCGTCCAGTGTCCCCGGGTCCCTGTGACCTCCCAGCCTCTCTGCAGATGGCTACAGCCTGGCCTGGCTCTCCGTGACAGACAAGCTCAGGCCAGCCGTGCCTGAGAGCCGCCTGTGGACCACCTCAGTTCCGGCACAGGCCCCAGGGGAGGCTGGCCGGGCCTCCGCCCCGACTGTGCGGATGGGCCTGGCTGGTCCAGGGGCAGCGTGACTAGAAGGAAGTGCCCGACCTGCTGTCCCAGGCAGGAGCTTGTGGTCCTGCAGGCTGGGCCACGCTGAGGGCTGGAAGAGCAGCGGTCCACTCTCCACCTCAAAGGAGATCTGATCCCGGCCCTCACACTGCCCACTCACACCTCACCGGACCCCACCCCTGGACCCCAGCCGCTCTTTGTCCCCATCCAACCCCATGACGTGCGCTCACACCCCCCCGCCAACACCTTGCTGAGTGCTCTCCTTGCCTGACCCCGAGCCGCGTGCTCACCACATGCCACTCTCCGTCCTCACCCAACCCCAGGCTGCTTTCCAAATTGGTTTTGCTGTCTGAGGCCCTCCCCTTAACGGAGGGCAACACCAGCTGCCCTGTGAGTTCTGCCCTTGTGAACATGTGCAGCCCCATGCACCCATGCACCGGCAGGAAGACCCGTCACCTGGTGGCTGACGCACCTGATGTGGGGCCCAGACGCCCCCCTGCATCATGTCACCATCTCCAAAGTTACTTCCACAACTTAGGTCACTCAGCAGGACAACTACCAGACCAGCAACACCCCCGGGGTGAGCTGTGGAGTGAGGCCCCCACGACCAGGAGTCAGGGGACCCCACAGTCTTGAAGGGGTAATGGCAGTCCATCTGAGGCACCAGACCCTAGAGCCACAGAGGGACAGAGCCACCTGACGGAGCTCCCAGAGGACAACGTGAGCGACAGCATCCCTAAGGCAGTTCCGGGTTACAGCCCAAGGCAGAGAGGGGACACCCAGGAGTCCGTAGGGAGGAAACCGAAAGACCCAAGCCTGGCCTCTGGACTCCCTCCCACACACGCAGACACCCCTACACACACACCTTGAGTGTGGCTGCACCCGGCGACGCTTCCACAGAGTGAGGGAAAGAGAGAGAGGGTCACAGAGCGGACCTCCCGAGGCCTGTGAGCAGGGGCAGCCCCTGTGATAAGCTGGTCACACCCCCGAGGGCGTGACAAGAAGCGCCGTGCCCCTCCAGTCTTCTTCCCAGAAGCCCACAGCCCAGTCCACCCGTTACGGACGGGCTGGTGTCCCAGAAGACACGCTGACGCCCTGAGCCCTGTCTGTACACATCTCGGCCGGCAGAGCTGCCCGGGATGGGGGTCCTGCTGGGTGGCCCCAGGAACAAGCACTCATTAGGCGGACCTGACCTGGGACAGGGCCAGAGATGCCTGCCCTCAACACTGTCAAGGTCGTCTCAGACGAGGGAGCCACAGAAACCGTCACGCAGGGAGACAACGTGGATCCTGGGGTGGGGGGGTCCCCGAGTCACGACGCGTGAACCACAGCCACCATATGGTGTCAGCACCGCCCGCTCCGCACCTTCCTGTAAACCTGATGTTCTTCCCCGACACCCTCTCCCCGGGTGCGGACAGTTACACGCTCGCTGCTACCTGGACCCGCAGTTCAAACACACCCAGACACACCTCAGAAGACGGGCCTCGAAAGCCCCCCGGAGTAGCCCCCACCACGCAGCACACATGGGGCCGTGGTGTGGGCCCCCACTCACACAGCACGCCACGACGCCCCGCGGTGCGGGTGGGGGGGCAGCGAGCTCACCATCTCGACCACTTCGACCTCGGCGCTGATGCGCAGGTGGTACAGGAACACCTGCAGGTCCTTCTTCATCTGGATGCTGTTGTCGTCCACCTGGGCCACCGTGAAGATGCGCATGCGGCACTTCCTCCACACCTGGGGGCGGAGCAGGCGGGCCGGTGGGCGGGGCGGGGCCGGGCCACCAAGTCCCTCCCCTCCCCCATGGGGCCTGTGCCCAGGACGGAGCAGGTGGCCCACCTTCCCGACCTCCACCCCCAGTGAGTCACAGATGAGCACGCAGGCCAGCACCAGGCAGCCTACCACCCCTGACTCCTGTTCCCCTTTGCTTCTCACCCCTCTGCCCCACCACTTCCCTGTAACAGACGCCCAGTGTGTGACACAGACACGCCCCCAGTGACAGATCCCCCACCCCATGTGATGTAGACCCATGTGTGACAGAACCCCCACATGCACAGACACCCCCCCATGTGCACAGACTCCCCTTCCGTGTGCACAGACACACACCCCCATGTGCACAGAACTCCCATGTACACAGGACCCCCCGCCGTGTGCCCCGACCCCACCTTGTGCTGGCGCAGCAGGAAAGGCAGCAGCATCAGCATGCCCCCGTCGTGCACGACCCACCACACGTCGATGTGCCCGTCGCTGAAGCGCTCCTGGTTGGTTGGGAACAGGTCCACGTTCTTGGCCACCAGCAGGGCCTGCTGTGCTGCCGTGGTGTCCCGGACGGTGTCTGTGGAGGGTGGGCAGAGCGGCGAGTCGCTGGGCAGACGTGGCACAGTGTGGGTGACATGCAGGGTCCCGCACAGCCCTGCCCAGTCGCCACGTGCCAGCCCCCGCCGCCCTGAGGGAGGGGCGCTACAGGCTTCACCCCCAGGCCGCCTGGACCCCATGTGCCTGGGCAGCCACAGCGCCACACCCACCGACGAAGTTCTTCCAGGAGAAGGGGTTGTCGGCCTGCCTCCAGGCGTCCGGCCAGGCCATCAGCACTGTGTTGTGTTTCATCCCCCCGAGCCCGGCCGACTGGATCAGGTGGGACGTGCCGTCCCGCACGCTGGAGGACACCACCAGCTGGCAGAACCCCTTGGTCTTCTCCACGCCCATCAGGGACCGGATGTTCTGCAGGAGACGGGGGGGCGAGGGGGAGGGCAGCAGTGGGCATGTGTCCCATCCCCCACCACAAGGGTCCTCAGGTGTGGCATGGTGGAACCACACAGGCCAGCCCGTGCCTGAGAGCCAGGCAACCCAAACACCCGCAGAAAGCTACGAGGCTTCACTAATTCAGCAAAGCTGCCGGGTGTCAGAGCCACACAAAAACCAGCTGTGTTTCTGTGCACCAGCGACGGACAATCTGAAAAGGAGTAAGGACACTTCCCCTTAGTTACATCTTGAAGAATGAAGTACCTAAATAAACATAACCAGGTATGGGAACCCCTTTCCACAGAAACCTATGGACAGTGCTGAGAGACACCAGAGGCTACCGTACATGGAGACACCCTGTGCCCCTGGATCTGGGCATTGGCAGGTGCCATCAAGTTGGCTCTGACCCACAACCTGTGTACAACAGAACAACACTGCTCGGCCCTGTGCCACCTTCATGATGCTGGAATCCACTGTAGCAACTACGGTGACAATCTGGAGGCTGTCTGTCCTAGTTCCCTGGTGCTGCTCTGACAGGAACATGCCACAAACGGGATGGCCTGAACAAACCAGAGTTCATTCTCTTACAATTTTGGAGACTCCAAGTCCGAGTTCACAGTGTCAGGCTCGAGGGGCAGAGTGAAAGCCCCTCGACCTTGGGGTTCAGCTCTGCCCCCTGCTCCCGGCCCACTGGAGCTAGAGGCTTTTCTTCACTCAGACAGCTGCTGGCTGCTGAGGCTGAGAAGCCCAAGGTTGACAAGGAAAAAGGCACAGTTCCGATGTTACCAAACCACATGGCAGGCCATTAACTTAAGTCCATTGAAAGTCCCAAGATCAGGAGAACATGGCAGGCTGGTGAACAACGACACGGCTATGTGCAGGGTTGAAGCGTGCCGTAAGCTAGAGACCATTCCAAAAGCTGCTTCTTATATACAGTGTGGTGGTCATGTTTTGGGGTCAACTTGGCTGGGCCTGGCTGAGTGGCTGGGCAGCTGGAGGTAGTATTCCCCATGATGAGACTGGTCATCAGCTCCATGGTAGAATCTACTGGGAGCCTTTGGGACATGGACTGCTTCCTGTACATAAGGAGGAGCCTTGGGGAACGGTCTCTACATCGTGGCATGCTTGGACCCTGCATGTAGCCATGTCATTGTTTTTAGCAGCCTGCCATGCTCTGCCGACCTGGGAACTTAAAATGGACCTGAATCAATGGCCTGCTGTGTGGTTTGGTAACATCGGGACTGTATTATTTTACTTGTCAACCTTGGGCTTGGCAGCCTCAGCAGCCAGCAGCTGTCTGAGTGAAGAAACACCTCTAGTTCCAGTGGGCCGGGAGCAGGAGGCAGAGCTGGACCCCAAGGTTGAGGGGCTTTCACCCAGCCCCTAGAGCCTGGCACTGTGAACTCGGACTTAATGCCTCCAAATTGTAATAATATATACCTGTTTGTTAAGGCCATCCCATTTATGGTATATATTCCTGTCAGAGCGGCACTGTTGTTGTTGTTGTTGTTAGGTGCCATAGAGTCATTTCCGACTCATAGCGACCCCATGCACAGCAGAATGAAACACTGCCCAATCCCACACCAGCCCCACAATCCCTGCTATACTTGAGCCCATCATCGCAGCCACCGTGTCAATCCATCTCGTTGAAGGCCTCCCCCTCTTTTGTCGACCCTCCACCCTACCAAGCATGACATCCTTCTCCAGGGAAGGGTCCCTTCTTACAACATGACCAAAATAGGTGAGACGAAGTCTGGCCATTCTCACTTCCAAGGAGCATTTCGGGTGCACTTCCTCCAGGACAGATCTGTTAGTTCTTTTAGAAGTCCACGGTACTTTCAGCATTCTTCGCCAGCACCACAACTCAAAAGCATCAACTCTTCTTTGGTCTTCCTTATTCATTGTCCAGCTCTCACATGCATTTGAGGCGATTGGAAATATCATGGCTTGTGTCAGGCGCACCTCAGTCCTCAAGGAGATATCCTTGCTCCTCAGCACTTGAAACAGTTCCTTCACAGTTGACTTTCCCAATGCTACACATCATCTAATGTCCTGACTGCTGCTTCCGCTGGCATTGATTGTAGAACCAAGCAACATGAATTCTTTGACAACCTCAATCTTCTCTCCATTTATTGTGATGCTGCTCATTGGTCCAGTTGTGAGGATTTTTGTTTTCTTTATATTGAGACGTAATCCATACTGCAGACTGTATTCTTCAGCCTTCATCAGTAAGTGGCTCAAGTCATCCTCACTTTCAGCAAGCAAAGTTGTATCGTCTGCATATCTCAGGTTGTTAATGATTCTTCCTCCAATCCTGATGCCACGTTTTTCTTCACATAGTCCAGCTTCTCAGATTATTTGCTCAGCATATAGATTGAATAAGTGTGGGGAAAGGATACAACCCCGATGCAATCCCTTCTTGATTTTAAACCATGTAATGTCCCCTTGTTCCGTTCGAATGACAGCCTCCTGGTCAAGGTACAGGTTTCTCATGAGCACAATCAAGTGTTCGGGAATTCCCATTCTTCTCAGTGTTATCCATAATTTGTCATGATCCACACAATCAAATGCCTTTGCATAGTCAATAAAACACAAGTAGACATCTTTCTGCTGTTCTTTGCCTTGAGCCAAGGTCCCTCTGACAACAGCACTAGGTAACCAGAACACGCAGGAAGCAGACCACATCCCTACAGCAGGTACTCAGCTCTGGCAGCGTAGTGCCCCAAGCATTTGACTGCCGACCAGAAGACTGGCGGTTCAAACCCACCAGCTACTCCTCGGAAGAAAGGTTGGGCGATCTAGTTCTGTAGTGATACTGCCTCGGAAACCCAAGGAGGGGTCGCTGTGAGTCGGGTCCGACTCCACGGCAGTGGTTGGGTTTGTTGCAGCCCCAGTCACTTACACCACGGAGCTGACGACCAGTCTCAGCACAGGGAACAGCTACATCCAGCTGCCCAGCCACCCCACAGGCCCAGCTAAGTTGACAACAGCCTCAACCACCAGTGTCCCTTGTTTTCACTGACCACCTACTGTACCTACCATGGTGTTTCCTTCCAGTGACTGATCTTGCCTGACGGCATGTCCAAAGGCAGCCAGCCAGAGCCTCACCAGCCCCATGTCCCAGGAGCACTCTGGCTGCACTTCCTCCGAGACTGACTTCCTCGCTCTCCTGGAGGTCCACATGGTCTAGTCCGTATTCTTCACAGATACCAGACTTTGAATGCAGCTACAGGCGTGCCTTAGACTTAATCTTGTGATGACGCCAATGCTACTCCAAGCCACCTACAGAGTTAACACATGCCTACCAAAATTCCAACAGGCTTCTTTGCAGGAATGGAAAAGCCAATCCTCAGACTCATATGGAATTATAAGGGGCCTCAAACACCCAAAACAATCTTGAAAAAGAATAAAGTAGGAGGACTCACACTTCCTGATTTCAAAACTTGCTATAAAGCTACAGTGATCAAAACAGTGTGGTAATGATAGACAGACAGACATTCAGATTAAGAGAATAGCACTGGAAATCTAGGTGTGAACTCATGCATGGGTAGTGGACTGCCTTTTGACAGGGGCCAATCTACCCACTGGGGAAGGACCAGCCCCTTCAGCAAACAGTGGGGAAGGACCAGCCCCTTCCGCAAACAGTGGGGAAGGACCAGCCCCTTCAGCAAACAGTGGGGAAGGACCAGCCCCTTCCGCAAACAGTGGGGAAGGACCAGCCCCTTCAGCAAACAGTGGGGAAGGACCAGCCCCTTCAGCAAACAGTGGGGAAGGACCAGCCCCTTCAGCAAACAGTGGGGAAGGACCAGCCCCTTCAGCAAACAGTGGGGAAGGACCAGCCCTTCCGCAAACAGTGGGGAAGGACCAGCCCTTCAGCAAACAGGGATGGGGCAACTAAATCTCCACAAGCAAAAGCCTGGCGTCAGATCCCTACCTCACACCCTTCACAAAAATGAGCTCAAAACTGACCAACAGTCTAAACATAAGAGACAAAAACTTGAAACTCTTACAAGGAAACGGGGTGAGTTTTCATGACCTTGGCTTAGTCAATGGTTTCTTAGAAATGACATCAAAAGCATGAAAAACAAAGGAAAATATAAAGTGGTCTTTATAAACACCTGTGCAGTGGATATAATCAACAAGGTGAAAAGACAAGAATGGGACAAAGTATCTGGAAACTACGTATCTATCAAGACTTTGACATCCAGAAAATATAAAGAGTGAAGACTTAACAAAAAAACACAAACATCCCAATCACTAAAGGACTTGACATTTCACCCACGAAGAAATACAAACACCCAACAAATTCACAAAAAGATACCCAGTGTCCTTAGCCATTAAAACACCAGCCTAAGGCACCATGAGAAGCACCTCACCCTTACCAGGACGGCTCTTGCTGGCAGAGAGAAGGTGAGCACTGGCGAGGGTTTTGGGACACTCGTACCTGGTCTGCTGCTGATGGGAGCATAACACGGTGCAGCCACATGAGTGTGCTTGAAGGCACTGCACTGTACACTCAGAAATGGTTGAAATGGCAAATCTCATGATGTGTATATGTGTGTGTGTACACGCGCACCACTCCATGAAAGGAAAACGGGGTGATCTAGCTCCATAAAGATTTACTGCCTTGGAAACCTGACAGGGGTCACTATGAGCTGGAATCAACTTGATGGCAGTGGGTTGGTCTTTGGTTTGGGGGTGTGTGTGACACGTTCCAGCTGGAAATCATACGCGCTTGACCCCCTTGTGTGAACCACATGGGCAATGGCAACTGGTGAGCACCCTCGGCCACTCCCCACCCACCTCCTCGGCGCGCTGGGCCTCGGCGTGTTTGTCCAGGTAGGTGCCCTCGAGCACAGAGCCAACGATGGTCAGGCCCTTGCCGGCCTTCAGCTGGGCGGTGAAGGAGAGCAGCCGCGGGTGCATCACGGCCTGCTCCTCGTCCAGGCTCAGCATCACCAACACCTGGGGCCTGCGGGGGCCACCACAGGGCTGTCAGCACACGGGGGCTGACACAGGGATAGTCGGCACAGAGGTGGTCGGCACAGGGGCCCAGCACGGAGGCAGTCAGTGTGGGGGTGGGGACAGCATGAGGGCTGTCAGCACAAGGGTGGCAGTACGGGGACAGTCGATGGGGGCAGTCAGGATGGGGCAGTCAGCACGGATACCTGGATGCCATGACGGCGAGTGCCCAGTGTGGGGCTGTGCCCAGGGTCCCTGTGCAGACACAGCAGTGGCCCTGCCATGAGCATGTGGGGCAGAGGCCGTCCACGTCCACACAGGCATCCAGCAAGTCCCCTTCCACAGGGAATGTGTCCCACGGCAGATGACCACCCCAGGGCCGACAGTCAGTTGGAGGGCAGTGCCCAGTGTGGGGGCTGCAGCCCGGGGCAGCACCCTCTGCCAAGCCCTGGTGCCGGGCTGTGGGACACTCATCACGCTCAGAACCCTGACCCAGGGGTAAGCAGTCTGGGGGAAGGATGCGAGGGGAGTTCCCCATGCAGCTCCTTTAACCAGGCTCTGGACGCCAGAAGCTGGCCGCTGGCACACTGAAGGACACCGGTCAGGCCTGGGCCCCTGCAGTGGCACTCACCTCCAGTTCTTGGTGTGGGGGGGGCCGTGCTCCACACGGAGCAGTGCGTAGCGTGCGGCGTTCAGAGAGAGGCCTCGGATGCCATCTCCCCACTCCTTCTCCGCCCTACAAGGGGGACGCCGGTAAGCCTCCACTAGGCTGAGCACAGGGCTCTGTGCCACTTCTGTGACACCAGAGAGGCCAACGGCAGGAGAGGCAGGACGTGGGCAGGTGGACCACCGGGGTAGGCCAGGGAGTCCGCCTCCCTGTCCTGGTGTCAGCTCTCCCTCATGAGGACAGGGGCTGGGCTAGGGCATCTCACCTGTATCAGGGCACCCCTCTCCAGTGAGCCAGGGCAGGTCACCCAGCTCTGCCCCCTGCTCCCCAGGTGGGGTGCTCACCCAGCTCCGCCCCCTGCCCCCCAGGTGGGGTGCTCACCCAGCTCCGCCCCCTGCCCCCCAGGTGGGGTGCTCACTCCACTCTGCCTCCCCAGGCCAGGTGCCCTCCTGCCCCCCACCCCTCCCCTCCCAGGCTCACCCGCGGTACTCGATGTACTTGTAGATACAGCCAGCAATGAGCATGGCGCAGAGGGCGTAGTACCAGGAGCAGATAAACATCAGGGCCAGACACAGACTCATCCCCAGGAAAGACAGCGTCCTGGGCAGGAGTGGGGGTGGGGGTGATCATGCAGCCCGCCACCACCGTCCTGCCTGCGGCCGCAGCCACCAACAAGGGCACGCAGCCACCACAGTGGAGACGACATGGTGACCCCAAGAATACTCAGCCAGCCTGCCAGGACTGAGCCCACATCACGGGCCCACTACCTCCACCACCCCGACCCCGGACTGAGCCCACATCAC